ATTTCATTCCACTTTATTTGGTTTGTTCTGCCTACCTGAATACTCTTCCATTAATTGGCCACGTTGCTTACATTTATTGCGCTTATCTTCGGTAACTTTGTTGCGTTTGTAGCATTTTTAACTGACTTGTGGACATTTTTTCCTTACCTCGGATTCGTCGCCAACCAACTTACTTCATATGCTAATTTAGCGAAGAGTTATGCCACCGTATCTGTATGCATTATTGAATTTGTTTTATTTCATTTTGTCGTTTCAAGTGATTGGCTGTTGCTTGATATCCCCGGTGTGGCTGCGCTTGATATGCGTGTTGACAAGGTGCCTACCTGTCTATTACCCACTACCTCGTCCATACTGGCTCCAGGAGACAGTTGGTCGTTGCTGGAGGAGACGGGGTGCACGGTCGTTGTGACCGTGTTCGGATCAAAAAGCGGTTCCATGCACTCAGTGTGGAGCGGACTACGGTCCAGCCACCGCCTTGTGTGCGTCTGATTCCCCATATACAGCGTGCTTGTGTTTGCCTGTGAAGGAGTGTGGGCCGGCTCCGTTGATGAAACGTGGCTCCCATCCACATGCCTCCTGGTCTTATTCCTTCGGGTTTCCACTGGATATGGGGTGTGTGGTTGGAGCTGTGGGTGGTGCAGCGCAAGCCATCCATGGTCCCTCTGTAGGCGCAGGCGTCCTGTGGCTTGCCACAGTGACAGGCAAATCCGAAACCGGATGCTGCCAGCCAATCTCAACAGCCTAGCTACTAGACATAGAGCCAACAAAGCCATGGAGATTAGCAGATAAGAAAAAGCCACTTCGTCATAATCATCGTGGCTTGGTAGTTGAAGTTGCGCAACACACTTCAGCTAATAAGCCGCAGGAAGATTGGAACATTTTGACAAATAGTGGCACGAAACATTTTTAGTTTGTTTTTCACACGCCGATTTTTCTCTTTTTACATTTTCAATGGTTGAAATATTAAACATGTGAATCAGTACAGTGCTGTACACAGTTCTTCCACTGATTCCATTTGCGGGCCTTGTCTTCAAGAGTGCTAAGCCATTGGTACTTCTCATCCTTGGGTCCCCATTCTAGAAGACGTACGGGTCCAACAGCAGCTAGACACGACGTCAGCGATTTCATGGGCTGTCGCCAAGTGGAAGGTTGACCACCACGCGGTCGCTTTCAGTTTGGTTCTTGACGAGCGAATAGAGCGCGACGCGGTAGACGCTCAGGTGCCACGCGTAGGACGTGACCGAGCCGTCTTAACTGGCGCAACAAAGCCAGTTTCTTGAAGGGAATACTCGCATTCCCTAAGATGCGACGTCGAACGTCATTACTATTAACTCGATGTTGCCACCAAACACGAGCGATCCTCTTTAAGCTACCGTTTTCGAACGGAGAAAGACGACGCATGTCTTCCATGCGAATCGGCCAGGACTCGCACCCACCCAATGTTACTGAGCGAGCTGATGCGCTGTAAATGCGGCCCTTTAGCGAGAATGAGATGTCGCGACGACTCCCAAAGTGCCTCAGATTATCAAACGCTGATCGAGCTTTAGTGATACGAAGAGAAACTTCTTTGTTGATAGTGCCATCAGCAGAAACACAGCTCCCGAGGTAGACGAAACTATCTACCTGTCCAAGTTGTGCACCTTCGGGAGTGAGCACGGGAGCAGGTGAAAGCCAATCCTTGAGCAGTACTTTACACTTTGATGGGGCAAAGCTCATGTCATACTTAGATGCTTCAACCACCAAACGATCCAGAATGCATTACATACCCTGAGGATCGTCACTAAGTAAAGCAATATCAGCAGCATAATCTAACTCGGTCGCGCGCTCCCCCGGTGTAAGCTCTAGGCCAAAATGTTGGAAACCTTCTAGAGCATTCGACAGAACGTCTTCGATTGCGATGTTGAAGAGGAATGAAGACATAGGGTAGCCCTGTCGCACAGCGCTATTGACAGCGAATTGCGAGGAAAGCTTGCCATAGACCCTCACTCTGCCGGATGTATGAAGGTAAATGCTCGTAAAATGGCGGTATATTTCTCTGACAACCCGTTCTTTAGTAAGCAACGCCATAAAGCAGGTCGATCAACGGAGTAAAATGCAGCACATATGTCTAGAAATGCAACGATAGTGGGCCTGTGATAAATGTGGCGGTGTTCAAGGAGTTGGCGGTGCGTGACGATTTGATCCACGCATCCTCGGCCAGGACGGAAACTAGCTTGTTCTTCACGGTAGTATGATTCACGTACTGGAGATAGTCTACGAAGCAGAATGGATGCCAATAGCTTAGAGGCAACCGAAATAAGATTAATCCCACGATGATTTGCACATGAAGTGCGAGCGCCTTTCTTGAAAATTGGGACAATAACTGATTCGTCCCAAGAGGAAGGCACTTTCCCTTCATGCCAAATTTTTGCGAACAGCGCGGTTAGCTGGTTAATGATCGCCACACCGCCGTACTTGAATAGCCCCGGAGGAAGTCCGTCTAAGCCGGCAGCCTTGAAGCGCTTTAAGCGTCGAATCTGGAGGCAGACTTCTGCTTCGCTGGGTGGATTCAATGGGACGAGCCAGGGTGGACAACAAGGTGTACTGTGTAAATTGATGGACACTGAATGACAGTGGACCGAATGAGTTGGAAGAGCCTGTGAGTGTTGCCAGAGAGGGCAGCAGTCTCCATCTCTAAAACACGCTCAGACCACTATGTCTCGCCATCCTTGCGTAGGCTTTGCTTGAGCAGCCGGTCGGCAGAACGGCGCCGATCGTTGCAATCTGATTCCGCGGTGATATCTTTGTGGCGTTCGAACAGCTCCAGAGAACGAGCAGAGATCCAAGACTTCAAAGGGCGTCGAGTTAGACCGCAGAATGACTGGAAATGGTCATCGCTTTCCGTATACAAGTTCAGTGTTGTTCCACTTCTTGCGGTGGATTGCAACTGAGTGCATATGCTAGTGAAGACTGATAGCTCTCCTGAACAGAGGAACCAGTTAATCTGTTTATATCAATCTTGAGGCGCTTCGTGTTTTCGGATCCCCCAAAACATACAGATTTTCGAGCAGACCAGAGCATGATCTGAATCAACGAAGGTGGACCAAAAGGACCTACAGTCCAGTACGTTGCCGCGCCATCTGAAGCTAATTGCAATGTGATCAATTTGAGACCACGGTTGTGTTGAAGAAGTGGGACACCACGTTGCGGAACGCTTCTTCGTACGCCTGAAGCTAATGCTCGAAGGAAACAGACGGTTGTCTTCCCACAGTGTGAGAAGTCTCTCTCCGTTATCAGAGCGGTTCTCATCGAGCGCGTGATGACCACCAAGGTGGCGTTCGTATGGTAACAGGCGGCCAACCCGTGCATTAAAATCCCCAGCAAGGATAACGACATCCGACTTTTTAGCATTAGTCAAGGGCTGATGCAGATCCCGTTAGAATTCGTCCTTGCCCGAGTCATAATCTGGACACACAGGTGGTCCTCCGAAATTCAGTAATGTACTTCTAACCTGAATACCGAGGGTTGCTTACGAATCTTATCAACTTAGTAATCAAGGTACTATCCGCTAACTCCCTTGTCGAGCTCAGACTATCTCTAACTGACGAATCCAAACACGATCGCAACCAATCGGTCAGTGCGCGATGTCAAGAGAGAGCAATACGGAAATTCTCGGTTTCTTATATTTGCTAAATACAAACGGTTGGAGTTAACAACGTGCATTACTCACCACTAATAAAGTAAACTAGATTACATCTTTTTTACTTCAAATAACACTCGTTACCCAGTTTAAGACCACGGATTTCATCGTTGGTTTCTCACTACCAGTGCTATGTCGTTGCGGCACAAGTCGTGAATCTGTTTCCACCAAAGATCACTTTTTAAAGCTTGTGATTTGCGATACTCGCTGTCTGTCCGGATTGTTGTTTACTTTGGAGTATACCTCGAACGCTATGATCCCTTGTGTCACATTTTGGGTAGAAATGTTTATGATGCTACCTTATCCCAACGTTTCGCTTTATGGTTGTTTTTCTGGACATCGTTATCGGCCCCGACAGTTCACTAGTACATTATGCTGTTGCCTCCCTGTCATACAACCAAAACGATCTTTCTAGTGAACAATGATGAGAGAGAATAAAGTGCTTACGTAAAATGTAAAGACACATGCATTTTACGGGAAACTCCCTATCACGAACAATAAGGGATCATACAAAAATCAGACGCATCGGTGACATAATCTCCTTGCGGCTTTCACTGCGCCGGGTCACAACCATCCTTATTCCGTTGCAAATTCAGTGTAAGACGTAGACGAGAATTTCGACTGAAAGGCGATAACGACCGCTCCAGTCTGGCCGGTTATCTGTTATGTCCTATAAACTCTCGGGTCACATGGATCTTAGCCTGGAAGGCGTAACGAACCACTGGTGCTCAGTTTGACTGTTTGTGCCTTTGTTTCCTGTTGTCTTTTAAAACTTGGGTCGCCTTATTTTCGTGTCTATGACCGTTTCGTCCAGAGCTGTGTCGGACCAGGGACGTTTTGGTAGGGGGCCATTGGCGTTGCAACTACGGCGTGTAGGATATGATCTCCCCAAGGACCCCTACCCAATCAACGGACGCGCATCAACCCAGCCTAGTCTTTCCGCCAGCTGCTTTTTACTTATTCAATATGTACTCAATGAAACACCTTGCCACCCCCGTCGAACTGAACTCTATCTCGGTTCACGATTTTTTAAATGCATTTACACTTTTTGGTGGGCTACTAAGAGTTAAACTTGCTCAAAGTGGACTCTCACCTACTTTTACAGTTGCCACACAGTCGTGATCTTCTAATTTAGACCCGATTTGCTGGTACGAGTATTCAGTTATCCTTGCTCCACTGATCTAGCGCGATTGCTGCTGTGCTGCATTAGTGCTTATCCTGGTCCTTCTGTAATCAGATCGTGTGTAAGCGATTGTATGAGACCAGTTTTTCACGTTCCCTCTGATACATTTAATGGCTTATCTCTTTACCTTCTTTTTCAGCCGGAATTATTGCCGTTGATCCTCACCACATATCGCTCGGCTTTTTTCTTCACATAACATTTCACCGCATTTTCATACTATAATGATGGCGTTTTCGGGTTTCAAAGACATCTTCCAAAAGCAAAAGGTAAGCTTCCCTCCATTTTTGGGATTGATGAGGTTATTTGCACCAATAGACCTTTCGACCGAAAAAGAAATTCGCTCCCGACACTATACGCTATCATCTACACAAGCAAGCCGAGGCCTCTCTCAGTGCTGGTATTGATTTGCGTGAAGCGGTGAAATGTCCAGACGATGAAGAACTCAATGACTGGATCGCCGTGCATGGTACGGATTTTTCAACTTTCCCTATATATCTGCACTTTTTATAGTTGTGGACTTTTATAATAGAATCAACCTCATATACGGAACAATATGTGATCGATGCACCGAACAGACCTGTCCCACCATGTCTGGGGGTAAGAAATTTGAATATCACTGGAGGGACAACGTGCGTTATAAGAAGCCAACTCCTTTGCCGGCGCCCAAATATATTGATCTCTTGATGGATTGGATTGACTTGCAAATAAATGATAATTCGATTTTCCCCACCGATGTCGGTTAGTTACCACAAGTTTGCTTTGATTGCTCGTTCCCTCTTTATATAGGTGTTCCGTTTCCAAAATGCTACATACCGACTGTGAAAAAGATTTTTGGCCGACTATTTCGTGTGTTTGTCCATGTGTACATCCATCATTTTGACCGACTGCATGAAATCGGGGCGGTTAGTTTTGCCCATCACTCTCTTTACTCATGCGATTCCTTGCAGGAAGCCCATGTGAATATGTGTTACAAACACTTTTACTACTTTATAACTTATTTTAATTTAATTGACGCAAAGGAGCTGGAACCACTGGTAAGTCACCGGTTACTATGCCCATCCGCGTGCCTATTGTTATATTGTGTTTATCGCATTCAAATGTTACCCTCCGACACGTGACCTAAAGGATCACATACCTGGTTTGTAATCCGAGGGCGCGGGTTCGAGTCTACTTAGGGGACCGGGCAACCCTCGTTGTACCCGTAGTCCACGCTCTATTACTGGTTGTTGTACGGCAGCGAAACATCGGCACTGTGTATCGGCGTGCTGGTGATATCTCCAATCATCATAAATGCACCTTAGCTGAGGGTAAGAAACACACCTCAGCTGTTCCGCAATCAAAACAGATAAGATACTAGAAATTTGCACTACAATGCAAGTAATCTGATGTTAAATATTATATTATACATTTTGTATGAGATCGGAATTGGAGGAGGAATCTAAAGGGGAGAGGGATGGACAAATAAACTCACAACATAAACGCCATTGGGGCCGGCTCTTCACCATATCAGCAGGTATGTCCAACCAAACGTGTTCATCGTCCTTCGGATCCCAGCCAGGCAGTCGGGATGCACCAGCTTCGAAAGCTGATATCTTCGGCTAGTCAACACAGCAGCATTCTTCATTAGACAAGAACTTCGATCCCTCCAGTCACTCCAACGTTAAAATTGGTGCTTTGCAGGCTTTATGAACGCCCATCTTACCTTGGGATTACTAATTCTGGTATGGCTACTGCGTAACATCTTTTGACTAGATCCGCGAAGGTTTAACCTGTATTAGTATATTAATTATTCATAATTTGCATGCTCACCTAGCAATATCGTATGCCACATAGCTCAGCTACTTACCACATATATTTACTCATTCGTTTTTTGGTTTCCTTTCCTTTGTGTTGTTCTGTTTCATTTTCCCCTATTACCATTTGTTCTTATCCGGGCGACGTGAGTCGTGTCGACTGAATCCAACCCATCTCGGTATCTGGTTCATAGCTATTTAACTGGAGTGAACTGATGCCCACCTGAGTCATTGGCGACTTAATATAGCTCAGTAGATAAAGACGACTACCGGTGAGTTACGCCTTGTGACTCCATTTGCCTCTGAAGATCATTGGATCATTGGATGATAGAGAGCAGAAGGAAACTCCTTTGTCAGCTCCTTCACTTCCCGATCATTGCGGAGATGGCGTGGGTCATTGCGGTAGAAGGTTCCGCAGTGCACCACTGTAGCTGTCTTAGAAGCAGCAGAATCCCAACCGGCTCAGGTGAGAATCTAACAGTTGTTTGAAACGTTCCTCTGTCTCAGCATCAACAACAGGATCCGGCAACTGGTTCCAATCATTCACCACGCGAGTTGATAAGGCCAAATTGAGCCGCACACGGAGATTCCTCGGTTTGAACAGTTTCATGCGGTGGCCTCGTGTCGAACTCTCAGTGTTGAGTTGAAAGAAGTCCTGTAACTCGCAACCCAGTTCTCCTCTGAGAATACGTCGAGTGAATATCAAATCTCCTTGGTGACGGCGGTAACCTAGAGAGAACAAGTTCAGTCGTTGAAGTCGGTGCGGGTACGACAGGTCTCGCAACTCAGGGACGGATTTGGATCCACGCCGTTGAACCTTCTCTATCATATTACATTCTTAGTTGGTGAGAGGGTAAGCAGCGGGTAGCTCGTATTCGAGAATCGGGTGTACATGCGAGCCAAAAAGGAGTCGGAAAAGTCCCGGGGTCAGGAGAGAAATCCCTCTACGTATAGAATGGAACATCCTGTAGGCCGCGACGACCCTCTTCTTGGTGTCTTGAATAGATTTGAGGTCTGATAACACTATCACTCCAAGGTCCCTCTCTTGGGTTGCGTTTTTGAGCAAGGAACCACCAATGTGGTAAGTTCCAAATGGGTTTGATGAGCCAACGGGGAGAACAGAGCATTTATCACGATTTACGGGCAACTGCCACTTAATCGACCAGTCATGGAGTAGATCGAGCGTAGTTTGTAATCTGTCGAAGTCTTCAAGGCTGGATACTTTCATCCATAGCTTTAGGTCGTCAGCGTAGATTAGACAGTCCGTCTGAAGAGTGGATGGTAAGTCGTTGATGAAAATATTGAAAAGTACGGGACCGAGGACGGAGCCCTGTGGGACCCCGCTCGTCATGAGAACAGGAGAAGAAAATGTGTCATTCACCTTCACTTGCATAGAGCGGTCATTTAGGAAGTCGGAGATCCAAGACAGGAGGTTCCCAGAAATACCGATTCCTTGGAGCTTAAACAGGAGCCGTTCATGCCGGACTTTGTCAAAAGCCTTGCTGAAGTCAACAGACACAACGTCCAAGCGTTTGCCGGAGTCTAGCGACCTTGCCCAGGTCTCCTTAGCAACGAGCAAGTTCGAGGTACTGGAGCGTTCTTTTCGGGACCCATGCTGGGCATAAGAAATGACATTCTGTCCCCCAAGATGAAGAGTAACAGCTTGTTTTAGGATCCGTTCCATAACTTTACACACTATTGACGTCAAACAGATTGGACGATAATTGGCTGGATCATGTCGACTTCCTCCTTTGTACATGGGTTTGACGATACCCACTTTCCAAGCTGAAGGAAGACGACTAGCTTCTAGTGAGCGGCGAAAGATTTGACAAATGGGTGAAGCTATGTACTCCGCCACAGTCTTGAGGAACAAAGGATGCAATCCATCAGGGCCGGGTGAGCTATACGGATCTAACTGAAGAAGAAGTTTCACCACCGAATCAGTGTTAATATCCACTTGGGCCAACGAAGATGGAAAGGGGGATACGGCTCTGTCACTAAATGGTGTTTCTTTCGCGTAAACAGAAGCGTATTGCTTAGCCAAGTGACTAGCTTTCTCAGCGTCCTCGTGAAGTAAAGCTTGATGATCACAGGAACACAAAGCAGGGATGCCATTATCAGCTCTAGTGCTTCTTTTCAAATAAGAGTAGAGCATTTTAGGCGCGATTCTGGAGTGTTTTGCCAAGGATAGTTCGTATTGTTGGCGTTTCTGGCGCTTCATTGCGGCACAAACATTTCTGACAGTCTTGTAGTGAGAGAAGTCGAGTTCTGAATGAGATTGCCTAAAGCGATCCCATAATTTGCGCCTTCTATTCATAGTTGATCTCAACTCTCGATCCATCCAAGGTGGACCTCTAGCGAAGGGCTTTCGATGGGAGGAAGGAACGACTTGCTCAACTAACGATGTCATTTTGGAGAGTACCAGATTTCACGCGTCGTCGAGGTGAATGTGTTCAGGGATACCCCAATCCATAGCGCTTGCGGCCGTTTTCAGACGGAGTGGGTCGGCACGCCAAAAGTTCCGACGGTGACCACTGTGGCTATGGAAGTTGAGACGGCGAGTCCAGTGGAAGGAAACAACGCAATGATCACACTTACCTGTGGGTTGAAGAACGGTTAGGTTCGTGACATCTGAATCTGCCGGGGAGAGCACGAGATCTAGGATGTGCGTGGTCTGGTCTGTTAAAATACGAGACGGCGTCAAGACATGTTGAACGAGGCTGCAGTTGAGAGCGGTTTTAAGCAATGTGGCATCGAAGGAGTCAGATCGGCGATCGCAAAGAGGTAGGTCCCAATCGATATCCGGTGCATTGAAATCCCCCAAGATTAGACAGTCTATGTGTCCACCATACATCCTTATCGAGCCCAACAAGCGCGCTCCGGGACCCGATGGCGCTCTGTAGACGACAGCGACCAAGAGAGATCTGCGTCCGTCATGAACACGGCACCAGAGGGCTTCGAAATTGTCACCCTGGTCACTGATAGCTTCAACTAAATATACTTTGAGATCTGTCTTCCAGTAAAGAATTACTCCATCACCTGACCTCACGCCTTGGCGATCGGACCTGGAATGATATCCAGGGCTAGACACTTCCGGGTCCGTGATATCTGAGAATAGCCAGGTTTCGGTGAAGGCCATCAAGTCTGGACGAGTCTCTGAAGTAAGCAACTGAATTTCGTCCAGTTTATTCCTTAGACTGCGTACATTGGCAGATAGCACGCTTAGTCCGTTTTATGCTTTACTGTCTGGGGGTGACAAGAATCGGCCTCCAGCGCACTCTTGTGCTCTTCCGAACTACGCAAAAATCCACTATATGTAGATCGGTTTCACCACTCGCCCGGCGCGTTCGGAGCTCCTCTACAGCCTTCTTTATTTTGATTCGGTCCTCGGGATCAAGGTCTCGTAACACGTAGCAAGGTTCACCTTCGAGTCGTGGAGTCCGTCGAAGAATGCGCGTGCACTCTTCTTCGTTTCCGCATACAATCTTGAAGGGTCGAACCTTGGAGGAACTTTCCTGCTTCTTACCGAGACAGAAGGCAGAGACAATGTTTATTCCCTGTTCGCCTGCATCAAACAGTAGGGAAATCATCCGCTCGAGCAGTATTTGATCATCCAACATTCGCTCTGCCGAGGTAGCCTTGTCCGATTCCGCCGCGTTCACGATGATGAGACAACGGTCACGAGATGGCTGAATGCGCTCTGGAATTGGTGGCTTACGGGACGACGGATTTTCCTTTATCACTTTTTCCAGTTCAGAAATTCTTTTGAGAATTATCTTCATTTGTGACTGAGAAGATGGAAGCTCAGGTTTATGCAAAGACTTAGTCTTGGTGACATAGGATGTGGCTGGACCTTGGCCACACGAAGCCAAGGTCGCTTTCTCCTTCTCTACGTCCGCATATGACTTCGTCGTAGGCTCAACAGGCCGGATGTGTATCAAGGGGTCTGAATGAGAATTAGACGGGGCGGAGGTGGCCGCGACTTTTGGAGCATCGCTGAAAGATGTGTTGCTCCGCTCCCTGGCACGCCTAGCAGAGGGAGCGGAAGAACGTCTTTCAGAATGTGGTCTCCTCCATCTGGTTCGACCTCACACAGGTTGTCCTGTTTTACCGAATATGAACTCGTCCGTGGATAGGCCGGCAGTATAACTTCGCAATATCAAGTTTGTCCAATGTTGTAAGTCTCTTTAATAGCCGACACCCACCAAATCAGCAAAAAGAGAAGCGAAGCTCTTTCTCTA